GGCCCGAGGCTGGGTCCCACGGCGGGGGGGGGGGCGCGGGCTCCAGCAGGGGGTGCGTGACGGCCGACTGGGCTCACACGGCTGGCGGCGGGGGCGGTGGGACAGGGCTGCGCCCCTGCCCTATTTCCAAGCGCGCGAGGGTGTGGGAAGGAGCGTATGCTAGCGAGAAGCTGCGCGCACCGACCGCGCCATTGTGGAGGGAGTCATTGGGCGCAGCTGGGAGTCCCGGACTACACTTGGGGAGGGGGCGGGCCCAGGGCCGAGAGTGGGCTCCTGGCGCAGGAGGGATCTGTGATTAGGAGCGGCCCGCTGGCCTGGCGGTTCTGGGTAGGAGTGTTTTCACAGCGGCGGTGGGTGGTGGGCATCAGTGTCGGGCGTGGGTGGTCTCCTCTGCATCTGCAGGGTGTGAGGCTGTGGGTTTGTGGTGTGTGGCCTCTGCAAATGTGTTGGGGAGGTTTCATGTTCTGTGAACAACACGACAACGATGCTGTCAATTACTGCCGCCTTATTACTCTGCACTTTACATGCCTTAGTTCACTTGATCATCTCAATATGAGTTTTCCTCATTATTCTCATTTTATAGATGAGGAGGGTGAGACACAGAGAGGTCAAGTAACTCTCCTGATGTCATACAGCTGTTTTAAATCCGGGCTCTCTGACTCCAGGACAAACAATATCTGAGCCATGCTGTGGGGCAGGAAGGTGGGCTAGACGCAGTCTGGTTGAGGGATGGAGGATGTGGGGAGGAAGAGGGGCCGATGAGTGCGAGATTGCACACTTGAGCACATTTCTGTTCCCTAGTATGAGCCAGTCTGGGGAAGAGGAACCCTCTACACTCATGTCCACTTGGGTGCCTTGAGGAAGCAGGTCAGCCTTGGCCCAGTCCTGGCATGAGGGTGGCTTGTCCCTTGGTGTTCAACTCCCATCTCCCTGCAGGCCAGCATGCCAGCCTTGCAGTAGAAGCATTAGGAAGAGAAACAGAAACCTACTAAGAGCTGATGAGACAGGTTTGTCTTTCTCTGATGTGTTATTCTGAACAAGCTCGAAAGTAGCCTCAGATCCCATCCCAGCGCCTAGACCCCCACTGAGATGCATTTGGCATGGCATTTTTGTGGGCATCTCTCTGACCAGGCTCTGGGGGGTTGAGCTGGACCACAGGCGTGCTTGAATGAGCACCTTGTGCAAGGGAGTGATGGAAGTGAGGGAGCACACCACCCTCACCCACCTCCTCCCAGGCACCTGCACCAGCTGGGCATGAGCCTGACCACTGGCTACTGCTCTGCTCTCCCTTGCTGATGCACACTGCCAAGATCATCTGCAACTGAGGCACCAGCCAGCCCCAAGACTGACTTGGGGAGCAAGGTCTGGGCTGAGACCAGGAACGTGTCTGGGAACCTATGCACCCAAACCTCTGTATCCCCCTTCTGCTCTACTCTTTGTACGTCAGCCTGCTGGGATTTAAGGGGCCAGGTGTGAATGTGGGTGTGAAAGTGAGTGATCCTATATGGTGTGCCACCCTCAGCCCAGTTGCCCTCCGTGCAAACTGGACACCTGCACATGCCTGACCCTAGGTGCACACTCACCTTCTGTGGTCCGCGTCTTGCTCTCAGGTGTGCTGCCTCCATGTCTAATGGATGCAGGAGGCCGTTCCTGCCCAAGAGCCAAGGCCCACAGAGGAGCCATCATGCTAATCTGTGGTCATGGCACAGTGTGGAGAGGTTATCAGGGCTCAGCGTGAGGCCAACTGTCTGGCTACAGCCCTGACACTGCTTTCAAAAGATGGTCCCCTCCACTCAGTTCTTCTCATGTTTGCCTGCACCTATTCACTGACCCTTAGGCCTCCTAACCCCTGACCTTTAAACTGAGGTTTGGGGAGGGAAGGCTAGTGAAGTTTATCTCTAGATCTGAGAAGGTACCATGTAGCCTGTGGAGGGGGCCTCCCTTCCCTTCTGCAGGACCACCCTTGACTCACCCCTGACTTCTTTCATCCTGAACAGGCCCACAGTGGTGAAGGAGGGGCAAAGAAGGCCCCAACTCTGGCTTTCGGAAGTGGGACCCAGCTGGCAAGGTAAGGGGGCTAAACTAACCTAGCTCACCCAGCCTAACCTCCATGCTACTATCTGGTTCCACCTCTCTCTGGAGGATCAAGGGGGCTTCCTAAAATGACCATGACTGGGTTCAAAGCTCCCTGCAGGACCCCCTTCTCCTCCAAGGGCCACACCCTGACTTTCAGGAGACGCCCTTCCAGGGCTTTGGCTGATCAGTTCACCCCTACCCCCACCCCTACCTGTTTCCCCCTCTTCATGGGAAATAGACCTCTCTGCCCACAGGATCAGAGCCACTTTCCCACAGGCATCAGGCATCCTTACTCCTGGGCATTATACCCCTGCCACAAGGATCTGCTCACTTTCTTCCTCCTGTCCACCTGTGTCCTGGTTTGGCACCTGCTCTGCGCTTCTGACTGGAGCCAGAGGTCAGAAGGACAGAATTTTGGCTCTAGAATCTCCCCCCGCCTGGAGTTCAGGCCTGGCGGCACCTTCCTTGGGAAACGTAGGGGGGAGCGGCTGCCAAAACCCCTCCTCCGGCCCTCAGAGGCCCCGCCCCTGCCTTCCTCACGGCCACGGCGGCGCCATCGCTGCTCGCGGTCCCCCCGCTGGGGGCCCTCTGCCGCTGGGCCGAG